ATTAGAAACAAAATAAAATCCTGCATTTAACTTCTCATAAAATCTGTGATGTGGAAAATGTAAAGGAAGGTAAATAAAATGACTAGAATAAAATCTTTTCATTCCAAGTTTGTGTTTTGAAGAATTCATATTACAAGAAAATCATCCTCATAAAATTATAAAAAACTAAAATTACTTTAATAAAATACATACAAACACTGACTACACAGACTGATTTCCTTTAAAAATAACCACCAATCTGCCAGTGAACAGAGACAACTTTAAGTTTTCATAACAAAGAATAAAATCAAAGACTAATGAAAATATTACATGGTTAGAACACAAAATGAAAAAGGGCATATGTGAAGAACCATGTTGGAGTAAAAAATATTAAAGATGGAAGACTATGAGGAATATTAGGAAAGTAAGCTACTATATCTATTATATATCTATTTTCCTTTATGCTGTATGTCATTAATATGATTTCCTAACCACAAGATAAGTTAATCTTTTGCATTTTATATTTACCCAGACTTCCCAGTGTGTCACAAAATAACATTCTAGGTGGATCTTTCAAAAATTTCTACAAAATGTCAGCAGAGTAACAAACAAGGAAAGTTACCATATATTGTTCCTCAGAAACTTTCATTTTAATCTTTTTCATTTAGGTCTTATGTGCTGCACTTCAGTTCTTACTTTGGGGGAAAGTATTTTAATCCATACCGATAACTAACAAACTAGTATATCAATTAAATTGTACAAGAATACTGGCCTATTAAAGTTGGATAGCAACTTGCCTAGTTAAATTAATTGAATGAACTAAATAAACAGTATTTTCATTTAAATATCAGAATACATTCATCAAAGAGTAAATAAATTTCTTATAAGCTTTTTTTGATATAATTAAGAGCTAATGTAATTGGTTTAACTTAACTCTAAGCCTCAGTAAAATCATTACAGGTAGTCAAGTAAAAAAGAAAATGTAAAATAGGACCATTTGGTTTGTGACACTAGTTTAACACACAGAATAAAGCCCCCTTAAAACACAATGTGGAATTACGACATTTTCCTTCTGAGCTCCTGCTGCCTTTGGTGTTTATGGGAAGCATGGCCGGGAAGGTCCCGGGAAGGATACGATCAGTGCCTTGGAATATCACACAACCTTTCACCAGCTCGCCCATGATGCAACCCACTGACCAGATATCAACTGAAAATAAAATGAAATGATAAAATTATAAAGTGCCATGAACAAAACAAAGGTGAGGAAAAAGAATTCTAACAGTGCACTAAACACACAAATATGGAAGAACAAATTGCTTGCTAAGGGTGAACTTTACACAATATCAATGATTGCTGACTTCCACTGTAGCCATTAGTTTGCAGCAATCTAGGTTTTAGTGCTGAAGATTTCAATACTTTAGAGCTTGAAACTCAAACAAAACCCCAGAAACAAGAAGAGCCTGTCCACACAAAGCTGTTTCTGGCCACACACCCACCGCCTGCCCCAGCCCGGGGTCAGTGCAGGGTCTCCCTGTGAAGGATACAGTCTCTTCCTGGGAACAGGACTTTATGAAGGACCATTTCTGCCATGATGCACCCGACAGACCAGATGTCCACTACCAAACACCAGGCAATTAAAACCAGCAGGAGACCCCACACGTCTTTCCTCAAACCCCCACCCACACAAAGACAAACCCAGCTTGTCAATGGGAGCTGTTGTTAAAATACGGACCCCACACCTCCTGAGTGCTCCTTTTCTAACCTGTCAAGTGAGCAGGGTCTCACAGGGGCAGGCCTACTCCTCTGGGCTCCAGGCGAGGCCCCGCCAGGTGGCAGACCTCCAGCCGACTTCTGGCCATTCATACTCTTCTGCCAGGCCAGCTGGAGCCCAGGCCTCAGATAGCCAGGCAAAAGGCTATTTAGTGTCCCCCTGGTGGGGGTGGGGTGGGAGACCAGGAATCCAATTTTCTTTCCCTTTATAGGGGACAACAGGAGCCTACAGAGCTGTGTCTCTCAGAGTGGGGGCATGGGTCACAGAACGTCTAAAATAAACCTAACACAAAGCTCATTTCAGATGAGTGAGACAAACTTTCAGGCTTTTAAACAAGTAAATGTGATTTCATTCTTTCTGACGAATTTGACAAAAGCTAAGTTTGAAAGAGCTCCGATATTGCTAGGATAAGTTTGAATGTCAAAAAACACCAATTTTACACAAACGTGAACATGTTGTATTACTCCATTTACATCAAGTTCAAAAACAGGTAAAACCAATGTATGGTGCTAGAAATCAGGATAATGGCTTCCCTTGTGGGTTGAGACAGGGAGGGCCCCGGGAGGCCTTGGGCCGTGCTGGCTGTGTGGGCATACCCATCGAGTGTGAACTTGACGTGCACATTCTTCTCTATAAGTATGTTATACTTTGACAAACATTCAAAAGGATTCATTTCAAAAGTGAATGATTTTAGCTAATGGAAATACAAAATTATTTCCTATCTGTGGACTCTGATAATCTATGGATAACCCAGTCCCCACATTATATTTCATATAATTCACAGGAAGAAGAGAAAACTAGTGATTCCCAACAGCACTATTTTTGAATACCTCAGCCTCTTCTAGTTCCGTCTGCACTCACCGTTCTCCTTGTAGCCCATGCCCAGGATGACTTCGGGTGCCCGATAATACCGCGTCACCACGTATGGGGTCATCATAAAGTTGGTACAAGCTGTCCGGGCCAGGCCGAAGTCCAGGATCTTAAGGGTACAGTCTGATTTTACCACGATGTTGCTAGGTTTCAAGTCCTAGGGCAGAATTTAAATAAATAAAATGAACCAAAGCATGCTAAATAAACGATCACACATTGGCAAGGACTTGCGAGGTCAGTGACTACTTAAGGAAAAAGACATGGGAGTGCCGGCAGAAAGAGGGAAGTTAGATTCCAACACACATTTTGGAATAATTTTGGAAAATCTTACTCTCAAACTGAAACTAATACAAATCAGCCTAAAGAGATCAGATGGTTGCCCTTACCCCCGTGTGGAAAACTTCATGATCTTCCTTTGCTTAAAACCTTCTGAGAGCTTCACACCACCCCCCATTCCCTCCCTCCTCTCCACCCCGAATGCCTGGTCATCCTTCAGTTCCCAACACTCTGGCACTTTCCCATTGTCCAATAGATGTAATTTACATTTTCTAGTAGCCGCCTTAAAAAGAGTGAATAGAAACAGGTAAAATTCATTTTACTAATATATTTTATTTAGTCCAATATATCCATAGCATTGAGGAAAGAGTGAAGATAGGGAATACATAAAATGGAGTTACCTTTAACCAAGCTGCTAAAATTATTAACAGTATGAAGGTTGAGTCACAAGGAAAAACTCTATTCTTGTTCTAAGTAGCCTGGGAACTTAAACTTTTTGAACTTTCCAGGCCTGTGTCAATGGCCTGGATATACATCTGGACATACACCAGACCCCTAGATAACCCTCTGATTATCCCCCGAAGGACTCCCATATCCAGGCCACCTGACATCCACCTGACACCCATTATCCAGGCCACTGGATGTGACCAGACCTCTTGGCGCCCATCCTCTAGACCACCTGGCATCCATCATCCAGACAGCCTGACATCTGACTGATAACCATCCTGGACCAATCCCAGGGCTAAGAAAGCAGGGCGGGTTATCCTCAGGAATGCACTTTTTACTAGAAGAACTCTTTTCTCTCTTCTTCAGAACACCTCTGGGTTTTGGCCTAGCTGTGTTCCCTGAGTGCAAACTCTAAGAACCTTGAGTTAATCTATCATTTATTTCTAGCCAAAGCCTCCAGACTCTTGTTGAGTTCGTTTGACAGTATTATTATTTTGAAATGTAACCAACATATAAAAATTATTAGTGAGATATTTTACACTCTTTTTTGATACTGTCACATTCAATTATTGCCACACTCTGAGTGATCAATAGGCTCATATGACTGGTGGCTACTATACTGGACAGCACAGGGCTAGAATTCTCTGAACCTGGAACCGTCCCACGGCATTTTTTCCTTGAAAGAAAAATTCCATGATCACCAATCCCAACTCCCCTTCCCCAGGACCCACCATTGCTGGCCACACGCCCCCTTTTGCTCCCAGGGTGAGTCTGTGAGAGCTAGACCTCTGTGCTCTCAGAACTGGCCCGACAGAGCAAGTCAGTCAGAAACTGTTTGCTGAGTGAACACAAGTGTCACACTCCACCACACTTAATGCCTGGACACAACTTCTGTAGTTTTTCCTTTTAACTCCATGGCCTTTCTTCCTGCGGACCTCCCATACCCCAACCCATTCCTCAGGCCACAGGAATCTGACTTTTACCTGGGGACGCCAGCCTGCAAACTCGCCTGAGAATCTGTGACTTCTGAACAACCCACATGTATTCTATGTACAAGAGTTTGCCAATGTGTAGCTGCAAGGTCAAATTGCCAAGTCACAGCACACAGGACCTGAGAGTACTTTAAGTGTGGCATTTCAGGCCCAGCATTTGCCATATATCTTTCAACTGCTGTGTCACAAATGGGCGCACAATGTTGCAAAGTGCTACTGGGGTAAGCAGAGAACTATTTAAAAATTACAGCAGCTAAGGTTGTTTCACTACTGCTAAATGCTCTTTCTAAACTTCCTAGATTCAGGAAAACAGGGAGGGTGTGGGTAAGAGGCCCAGCCTGAGCACGGTCTCTGCAGTGGGTCTGCGTTCTACCACAAGAGGATTCCAGCGTACCCCTCATAGCCTCTCCTACCAGCAGCCAGGCTTGTCTCTCTCAGTCAAGAGACCAGAGGAGCCTTATCTAGAGAAAGTAAATGGTGCCCAGAGAAAAGACCTGCAAATAGGAACACCTGAGGCCACCTGTTGCCCTAGGGAAAAATCCATCAATCACCAACCCACTTGGCTTTCTAATGCTTCTGTCTTAAATAGGATCAGATGACAAAGGATCACCAGACATTTGGAGAAAGGTTTGTGTGTGTCAGGGAGAGATAAAAATGCACTAAAAAAGGAACTCAGGAGAGAAAAACAATGCAGGGAGCAATAAAAAAACTTCAAAGAAAAGTATCTCACCTTAACAGAGATGACAGTGCATCATGCAACAAGGACAAAATGCTGTAAAAAGGAACTAATCAGGATAAAAACGAGCTCTATCTAACCAGTGCCTCNGGGGGGGGCCTCTTTTATTGAACTGCTCTAATTTAGTTTCTGACCCTCAACTGGGCTAGATCTTTATTCCAGTGTTCTTTAAACCTGAAAACTTTTTGAATTCCAATTGCTGTGATTAACAGAAGAGTCTTTCAGACTGATGTGAATATTTTTATTTTGGCCAAAGGCTTCAGTTAAGTCATTTTATTGAGGACAAAACTACATCTTTATGCGTTCTTTCTGAAATGCCTTCATTCTAGCCTGAAGGTTGCTTTACTTGAGAGTTTAACTATTTTGTCTCCCAGTGTTCACAGATTTTAGAAACATGAAAAATAAAAGCTTCACCTAGATTATGAAAACAAGTGCAAGACAAGAGGATATCTTACTTTTAATTTTGTCTCGTTCCGACTCTGATGGGAATATCCAATCTGGAAAAAGTTCTTCAAATTTGATTCCAGGATACTTTGGTCTGTTTTCTACATAATTCCTCACAGTTGGCTGAAGTTTCTTCATGAAATCTGCAGACGGTGTTCCTAGCTGCTCAATAACTTTATTCCACTGATCAATATCTAAGGAGTCTCTTGAGGAAAATACAACTGAAATGCCTTATATTCATATTACGTGTAGCATCATTCAAAGGAGAACTTAAACTATATTTATACCTGCTGAGAAATAATTAACTAGGCCACCCCACCATGTCAGCAGGAGCATTTTGAATAACATTCAAATAAAGTTGGGGTTTCCAAGTTTAGACCATTTAGAAAAACTCTTACACTCTGCATCTTTATAAGCTATGATCACGATTTATTACATCAGCACAATGAGGACTATATGCCTTTCCATTCTATTGGGTTGTCGGAAAAGTCATGACGCATTTTTGCAACGAAAAACATAGAAAAAATACGTCATGACTTTTCTGACAACCCAAAAGATAAAAATAAAGTTATCTTGCAACTGAAGAATGCCGATGACAGAATGCTCAAACATGGAATTAGACAGTAACTATAAAGGCAAAATGAAATCGGTTTTGTGCTAAAGCTACATTAGGTCTAAAGTGCCCTCCAGTGGGGAGACCTGTGGGACCCCTCGGTTCACAGCTGGGGGAGCGAAGCCCTGGGGGGCTGGCATGTTGGCTGCGGCATGTAACTGAGGGACAGGAGCGAAGGCTCTGGGCTTCCTGAGCCCTCTCCTTGTCCCTTCCCTGGGGCCACAGGTCTTCCAGTAGCTGGGCTTACACTGAGCAGTGACAGCTTTCAGAGGTCACTCTATTTTACTTGGCATTGATCCCAGCTGGCACTGCAATACCTAGGGGTGCATTTTGTCTCCTTTTAAAGTGCATGACCTGGGTTTCAGGCTCCACTGAGCGCTAGACACTCTTCAGGTGTCAGGCAGTCAAGCTCCCTTGGGTCTCTACTTTCTTATTTGTGAAATGCAGACCATACCAGCTTCGCCTACTTCACAGGGGGCGAAGGGAAGTGATTCTGACATGGTCAACAACTATATGAGGGAATGCAAGCCAGAAGAAATCACTTAAATAGTAGCTTTAAAAAGTGACTAATTGAGGTATGTCTTAGAAAATGAAACTACATCACTATCAAAGAACTTAGGAAGCAGACACACGTTCTTCTGGAGAACAAATGATACCCAGTTCCCAGAACGTCAGCCTTCCCCTGACCTGCACGCACGGGAAATGGGTTTTGGACATTCAAATCACTAGCCTATTCTTTCTTCACTCCTCTGTTTATACATATTGATGAATCAGAGTTGTGCCTGAATTAGTTACCTATTTAGCCCAAATGTGAAACTCATCCTACACCCATTGCTCTATCTTGCTGGTGCACCATCACCAATCAAACATGATCTTTTTATGTTAAAACAACAGCCACTGTCTTTTGGCCCCACATTGGCCAATTAGCTAAAATTCTCACCTGCAGCAGAAGAGCTATCTACACTCACATCTCTAATTCCCAGCTTCTGGTTCTCTCTTAAACATCCTCTCTTCAGGCTTCCCCCCATCATTCCATGAACACTGGGCCCATCAAGGCTGCCAGTGACCATCCCTCACTCCAGTGCTCCATTCTCAGTTCTCACCTTTTTGACTGGTCAACCAGCCTCCCTCAGTAACTCCCTTCCTGGCTGCCTGGCCTCCACTCTGGGAGGGGGCCTCTTACTTTCCTTTTCTTGCTCCTGTTTTTTTCCGCCACCCCAGGGGGCTTAGTCCTCCTCCTTTGTTCTCTCTCTGAACTCATGCTAGTCTCCAGGCTTCACACAGTATTGGCAGATCCCCAGTTTATTTCTCCTTCCCAGACCTCTCTCCTGAGCTCCCCCCCCTTGATATCGCCACTGCCTGACAGCTGTCTCAGAACCCAACAAAGCTCTTGGAGGGGCTGATCTGCAAACCAGATGCATCACTCCAGCCCTCTCCCACCTCACTCCCACCACCCTGCTTCCTGCTTCAGCCCTCATGCTTGTGGGCCCACCCTCAGCTCAGCGGCAGGGCCACCCTTTTCCAACCGAAGTCAGATGGGAGCCTAAGAAAGGGTGGGCGCTCAGTAAATATCTACTGGATTCATGGTAAAGGGTCATGTCTGTAGATTACAGGGGTGGTGGGCAAGGGGAGGACAGTCCCTGCAAGTC